AGATTACTCAGGAAGGTCACAAGATGCATTGCCAGATGAATAAAACACCATCTTCAGAAAGCGGAGAACCAGGAAATAAGCCTCAGTGATGTCACAGTAAAATGTGAGCACAGTGTGTCTCTTGAGTTCTGCCAATATAATTCCTTACGCTCTCAAAAGGGCACATGTCCTGTTTTTACTGTGGGCAAGCAGTACAGTTGCTCCCTCTCCCAGATAGTTCATCTTCTTCACCCTCCTGCAACTTAGTTGGAAAATTTAAATCATAATTTTTCCATTCCCAAGAGAGAACTATGGTGGTGGGCTTAGGGTAGAGCACGCAAAATAAAATTGAATAAATGATTACAAACACATGAAAATCACGTCCCCATTAGGGCTGACCTCTTTTGTGTACTTATTAGAAAATTCTGAATAGTCTTCAGGACGATTGTGCTGTAAGTAGTGGAATTTTCAAGAGGAAAAAGAGGTCAGCGTAACCAGGAGACCAATAATCAAACAAGAGGCCAGCCAAGTGCTTTTTAAAAACAGAAGAAAATATATAATAATCTAGACTTGGCAAGAGAATGAATGACAGCCATTCATATCTATGGGAGAAAGTTTTTTTTTTTTAAAGTGCATTTTTTGGGACTATATCGGGGAAGAGTATCTTTCCCTCGGCCTTATGACCTCCGTTGCTTGAGAAAACTTGCCCTTCCAACATCTTCGTCATTTGCAACATCTTAAACGTTCTCCCTTCGAGCTTACTGGGAATCTTCTCCTGTTTATTTAATAACACCCTGAGCCATTTGTTATTAAGATGGAGTGTGGCGAGCAGAATGGACTCCAAAAATGACCTTTGCTCTAAGGACTCAGAGGGTTTTTGCAGCAAAGGAGGCCCCCCAGGATCCTTATCCATAGCTATTGGGCATAAAGTACCTATTTTATTTTGTTCCATTCAGATGCATGTTGGACAAGCCACAATTTGAGAGACCGCCTCCTGCCAATTACCTCCCTGCGACCTATAAGATCACATAGATTGGGCCTCCTCCGAAT